TTATCTTACATCTTGAGGTGATTTAGGGGCTTTTTGGTTGACGATGTAAGATTTCTAGGTGATATGGGTTGTATTGGTGTTTATTCCCGCATGTGGGTTTGGTGTTACCTCATGTACTTAATAATTTATTTAATAAAATATGAGGCACTCTTTTCTCCCTTCCTTGTTCTTCAACATACTTCTAAGTATGTGGAAGAATACGAAGGGAGTTTTTAATGAGACCTCCAACTTCTATCAAAAAAAAAAAAGTTTCAGCTGTCAAGTTTCTCCTTTGGTTGCTGCCTAAAACTATTAGTAATCCCAGTCCTACCGTTCATGGTGGGAGGAACATTCTAGCAGTGCTCGGGAATGTGGAAAACCACACTTGTGAAGTGGGAGAGGCATATCTTTTATCATCTCTCCGAAGGTGAAATCATTCTCTTATTTTGATTAAAATTTTCATGCAAATCATACCTGGCTATCAAATTTGCGCTTCTCTGGGTTGTTTATTTGTTGGTGTCCATCAGGTTGCAGTATGGTTTGATGTGCTTACTGTTTCTTGATCTTTAACAGTAATTTTAGCCTCCTTTCCCTCTTTTCTCCCCATTTTTTAAAAGCAAAACTATTCTGAGTTTGTCTGTGAATGTGTATTAGAATCCATGAAACAGTTTAATGATGCATTTTTGGGTGTCTGGTTGGAACTGAATACTTATTTCTCTTCCCTGAAAGTAACTCAATATTGGACTATTGAGCCACTGCACTCATCATGGCTAAACATTGTCATTACTGTCTATGTTTCATGACCTGCATATTTTTGTCTTACATGCTTAATTAGGAATTTTGTTCAGGTATGAGAACATACTTATTGCCGCAGATCTTGTGCCTGAAGCTCTGTCTGCTACAATGCGTCATGCTTCAGCTTTTATGGCCACTAATAGAAGAATTACAGGTTCCGGAACCCTAGTTTTTTTCGTTATTTGTTGAAGAGGTATGGCAACATTGCCAGTGTAATTGAATGGGAGAAGAATTTCAAGGGAACTTGCGATAAAAGACTTTTGTCTGAACTTGAATCTGGACGAACAGAGGGAGAATTTGGATTTCCACTTGGAGTTTCGTCAGGGACTGAAGATCCTGATGATTATTGCTGTCAGAGGATAACTGTTGGGCGGTTATCTAGAGTGGGTATAAGCATGAAAGATATGGTTCAGCGTCATATTGATGATGTCTTGCGCTATATCTTAGGAAAAGAGAGAAAACATTTTGCAGCCAATGCACCGAGAAGCCCTGCCACTGAAAAAGGAGATGATGATTATCAAGTAGCTCAACAGATCATAATGGGACTAATGGACTGTTTTAGGCAGACTGGTGGTGCTTTCCAAGAAGGGGACCCAGGTTTGGTGTCATCTGCTGTTTCTGCCATTGTTAGCAATGTTGGGCCCACACTAGCAAATATACCTGATTTTACTGGCGGTAGCAATTATTCAAATTATCAGCAATTATTCAAATTATCAGCCACCTATGAATTCCTTGAATTTTGCTAAGCGCATAGTGCACATTCATTTAATATGTCTATGCCTGCTGAAGGAAGCACTTGGAGAGCGCAAAAGCCAAGCATTTGAGATAGCTCTTGCAACAGAAGCTTCTTCTGCTTTAGCAGGAGCATTTGCTCCTGCAAAGTCTTCTCGTGGTCAGTTTCAGTTAGCTCCTGATTCTCATGATTCTAATCCAAGCATATCTAGTGACAATTCCCCAGGTTCTGCCAAAGCAACTTTTGGGAGAACTACCAAAATGGCAGCTGCTATTTCTGCCCTTGTCATTGGAGCTATTATTCATGGAGTTATTAGCTTGGAGAGAACGGTAACTGTCTTAAGATTAAAGGAAGGTTTGGATGTTGTTCAATTTCTTAGGAGCACAAAAACCAGTTCTAATGGTAATGCTCGACATGTTGGGGCTTTTAAGGTGGACAACTCAGTTGAAGTATATGTGCACTGGTTTCGGCTATTTGTTGGGAACTGCAGAACTGTTTGTGATGGACTAGTTTTGGAACTCTTGGGTGAACAGTATGTTTTAGCTCTTTCAAGGATGCAGAGATTGCTCCCGATTAATTTGGTGTTTCCACCAGCTTATGCAATATTTGCATTTGTGATATGGAAGCGATTCAATTTGAATAGTAACGTTGCAAGTCGTGAAGATATACATCAATTGTATCAGTCTTTAACAATGGCCATTGGAGATGCCATAAAACACATACCTTTTCGATATTGTAGCTGGAGATACTACTGATGCTGAGTTTGCAGCCTTGCTAGAGTTGAATGGTTTGGACATGCATTTGAAATCCAAGGCCTTTGTCCCCCTTCGTGCAAGGCTCTTTCTAAATGCAATAATTGATTGTAAAATGCCTTCTGCATTTGCACAGGATGATGGGAATAGGGTTTCTGGACATTGTGAATCTAAAGCTCTGTGCGCAGAGACTGGATCTAAGCTTTTGGATAAACTTGTTCGTGCATTGGACACTCTGCAGCCTGCTAAATTTCATTGGCAGTGGGTTGAGTTAAGGCTTCTTTTAAATGAACAAGCGCTTATTGATAAGATGGAGAGCCATGACATGTCCTTGGTGAATGCTATTCGCTCTTCCTCACCTAATTCTGAAAGAGCCTCACCTTCTGAGAGTGAAAAAGTTTTCATTGAGATTATCCTTACTAGATTGTTGGTCAGACCTGATCCTGCTCCCCTTTTCTCAGAGGTGATTAATCTTTTTGGGAGATCATTGGAGGATTCAATGTTGATGCAGGCTAAATGGTTCCTAGGAGGCCCAGATGTTCTTTTGGGGCGGAAAACTGTCAGGCAATGACTCAGTAATATTGCTGAAACTAAAAACCTTTCTACAAAGAAACAGTTTTGGAAGCCTCACCTCTCTTGAGGAAGGTGAAGTCATTGAGGAGGGTATGGAGACAAAGAGGTGCCTAAAAGGGTCCACTCAAGTGGATGTTGAAGGTTCCAGTATCAGCCAGCAGCATGTAACGGAGAAGGCTTTTATTGAGTTGGTTCTTTCCTGCATAAACCAAAGCTCTGCTGACTCATATAATATATTTGCAAGTGATTTGATAAAGCAGTTTAACACAATTGAGCAACAGATAAACTCTGTTACTCGTGGTGTAAGCAAGCAGACTGGTGCTGCTGCTTCTGGAATCGAAGGCTCTAGTAATAAAATTAATAATCGCAAAGGTACAAGAGATGGTAGTCCTGGGTTGGCTAGACGAGCACTGGCACCTGTGGAGTCTGCACCTCCTTCTCCTGCAGCTTTGCAAGCTTCTCTGTCGTTGAGGTTGCAGTTTATTGTGAGACTGCTGCCTATAATATGTGCAGAAGGGTAAATAATATGAATTATTTCCCCTTTTGTTTCATTTTATTCCACTTTAAATAAACATGATCAGTTTCTATGCCTACTGCTTTGTGAGACTTTTTTTTGGTTTTCCAAGCATATTTTCTTGTTGCTATGTATTGTTTTCATGGGGTTCTGCCAGCTTGTTTGTTAATGTCTTGTGGTGGTTATCTAGTAGTCCGTGCATCTTTCTGCTGGAATGGAATAGATACTGGCTTGCTTATTTTCTTTACAAAATCCCCATGGTTACTTGTGTTAATCTTACCTCAACCTAGGCTTAAGCCTTGCTGATTTCATTTATTCTGTTGAAAGCGATCTCAGTAGTTAGCTTTAACTGTGTTATCTATCCATAATACCTACTCATTTTTAAATTACTTCATCATTGCATGCCTTAGCTTTTCAGGGTAAGAACTTTTTATTTCAGTGACTTGTCACTCTTTGAATGCTGAAATTGTTTTTTAATCTCTAATTCATAAAATTCTTAAACTGAAAAATCTATTAAAAGAGATCCTTTTGCATTGTTTATACTATTTTTGGGAATTCATTGACTTGGCCATCTTCTGGTAGCAATTTTTTTCATCCTTATTGATATTAATGGTTGTTGAGTAGTCCAGGTGCAACATTGTCATGAAATCTTTATTGTCTTATTACAAGTATTTGATAAACTAGTTACCAAGTTTTGTTCTATTTTCCAGGGAACCATCAGCACGAAACATGAGGTATATGCTTGCCTCTGTAATACTTCGACTGCGTGGATATGAGGATGGGGAACTGATGCCATCTGTTGTATCCTCAGAAATGCCTGGAGATGGTCTTTTTGACAGCTTATTGTTAGTTCTGCATGGGTTGTTAAGCAGTTGCAGACCAAGTTGGCTAAAGTTGAAGGATGCCAAGGATTTTTCTGGGTTTGACCGCGACTCAGTGGAGGGTTTGCAGGTCTGATCTTTTATCATTTTGCTGATTGAATCTATTGCTGCTCGCTTTGTTAAAAAATAATTATTATTATTTGGGCTTTTGAGAGTTCTGGAGGTAAAGAAAGTAATGTGCAGATATGTGGTTATGAGGTGTTTGTTAATGAGACGTGCATCCTCATAGACTTAAATTTACCGAATGTCTGTTGGTTTATTTTCAGTTGGTTTTGCCTCTCAAAAGTGTTACCATCTTTTCCTATGGATGCAGAACGAATTAGATTCTATGCAATTGCCTGAGATGATTAGATGGCGAATTCAAACGGCAATGCCAATATTATTTCCTTCTCTTCGCAGTACGATCTCCTGCCACTCACCTTTTGTTCCTATTGGTGCTCTTAGTTCGCTTCAACCCAGCATCTCTATTCCTGGATCTTCCACTGGAACTACGAATGCGCCTCAGAGACAGTTTGCATTGGCACGAAATGCAAATAACATGCCAGGAAAATCCAAGTCAATGCCATTACCGCAGGAGAATGATATGGAAATTGACCCATGGACATTTTTGGAAGATGGAGCAGGATCAGGTCCATCAAGTAGCACTGCGGCCATTGGCAGCAGTGACCATGCTAATCTTCGAGCCTTAAGTTGGCTAAAGGGTGCTGTAAGAGTAAGACGGATAGACCTGTCATATTGGCGCTGTGGATGATGACGGCTGATATTAGGTTATTTTAAAGTCGGCCTTTTAAGATTCGCAAGGCCCCTCACAAAAGGTAAATATAATGTGTTATTTGTTGTGCACATTGGTCTTTGCCTGTCCCATGTTTGATAGTGGAGGGGGGATTTTGTTTTTTCACATGTTGGAGTGGGTATGCTGGAATCCTTGTGAAAGAATGTCATGATGTGCTGATGTAAGCCATGTATTTCGGCATTGCAGATTTACCGTCATTGAATTCCCCATCTCGTCTGGGCCGTGTACCCAGAGGTGCGGTTCAGAGGCTTTGTTGTATATATAGAGATAATTGTTTCAGTTATACCAATTGATCAGGTATAATATCTCAAGTATTACATGTAGTTATTCCTTTGTTTATCAATCTTTTAATGCCTTGAAGTTAACCTCTCTCTCTTACACACACATGCGCACACTATCTTAGACACGGATGCAAAAACATCACCATCCCATCTACATGAATGCTTATGTTGTTGTCATGCATAACTTACTGCATTCTTAAATACGTTTGTACATGTACGTACGTGCTCTACTGTATAAATATCCATGATGGTTGGGGTTTTGTAGATGAACAGATACATATCATGGCGGGCAGATGAAATGGTTTATAGGCATATTTTTCTCCATTTCAAATTTTGATATTAGTTAGAGAGCTCGTTATGCTTTCGGGTTTCTTATTTCTCAACCCGGATAAGATCAAATTGAATGATTAGATTGAAGCTTTCAAAACGGGTTAAATTAATAAATGACTCCTTGTATTATACCTGAATTGTGGATCTAGTTTTTAAAATTTTGTGATTTATCTTGATTCATACAATCGGTATGGAATATGTGAAATTAAATTTTGCTATTAGTCTTTATATTATATGCGGAAGTTGTATATTTAGTTTTTGGCTTTATTTGTTTATTATTAGAGTTAGAGATTGAAATTTCAGAAGTTTGAGAAGTACAAGTGTTAAAATCTGTCAAATTAAATTAAAGTTTGGAAAAGTGCAGAAGTAGATGATTTTAATTGTTCTACCTACAAAGAACACATCTCCAATCCAAGCTACAATGTTGAAAGCTACACTTTCCAACACTTTTGAATAACTCTTATGGGTTGCTTGCCCCACATCCTTCAACACACAAATTTCATTACAGAAAGTTGCAAAAAGCTACAATGTTGAAAGCTACAAATTCCATTACAAAAAATTTATTAGGTTATTCATCATATTTGAAAGGAAGCTGGAATAACTTCTGTTCACCTATGACTTGATCGTGCCGAATCTTGCATGAGTCCAAGGACGTATTTCTGCTTAAAGGCAAACAGCAAGCTCTCTGCTCCTTCAGCCATTGCATGGTTTGTCACTTCCATCAACATCAGACATCATCTCTTTTACCATGCACCCATGATGATTTTGAATGCTTTATGCATGCTTTACGTCTCTGTGTATACGTCGAAGCTCCCACACAGTGCAAGTTTGATCGCCTTGTGTTTTGATACAATATTCAGACAATCAAGTATATGATCCGGGCTGGATTTTTGTTGCGTGCATGAACCGGTAAATTGGGTCTACGATACTATGTCTTCCTGTCTGTACAAGTTTCCTCACACAAAATTTGGCTCCAAGTTTCCTGTCTTCTTCATTTACCACTGCATTTGTTTGGTTACCAAGTAACCCAACAACAATAAGTCAGCTTACTGACCCCAGAAATCCCACGGTTGATTATTACTTTTTCATCTGGTTTCTCATCATCACTTAGTTGCAACTCTTTGTAGTGCTTGTTTGATCGCCCTGATGGTGCAGTGGCCGCTCCTCGAAACTGTCGAAAAAGAAAAAATGACAGGTTATCTTAGGAGTAGAACAACAAAGAACCATGTACTCTGTTAAAACGAGCCTAATCGAACAAACCTTAGATTTCAGGGTTAATGTAACGAGATTGTCGAGAGTGCTTGATTGAACCATGTGTGCATCCAGTAGGTTGTTTATAGCTTCCATGAAATCCAACAAGAAGAGTTCCCTTGAAGGACAGTTTATTTCAATTACAACTTCCAGTTCTTTTATTCTTACTTTCACTTGGGGTGAAAGGCCATCTTTTGGAGTACCCCTATTTAATTCCGAACCGGTTTCATGGAGGCTTTCATCGATGTCACAAGCCTTCCTCTTGTTTACCCGAAACTTCTTTCTCCTGTTTTCATAGTTATCTGATGTCTGCTCCACCACATCCAGGGAATTCCTTCTAGGACTTGGTTTAAATTCCATTGAATTCTTGCAAGATTCCAACTCTTCTATCCTTGCTTCTAGATCTTTCAAGTACTTAATTGTATCCTTGAGAATTGATTCTTTGTCGATCTGTGAAAACAAGCAAGATGTTTTCAAAAACTAGTCGGATCAAACAAAGAAAATGTGTATGTATGTGCATGTTCATGTCAGAGTGGATTTCTAGATAACATATAGTGTGGATGAAAGTCGACTAACCTCACTGATGGAAGGAACTATTGACCCGAGGAACCGAAATTTCGCCACCTCCCTTCTTCTCTCCGGTAAAACACATCTGTCGAAACGATTTTTTCTTAAAAGGTGAAAATGTGAGATTTTAAAAAAACCACATTAATTTTTGAATTATTCTCTTTCAAATGATTAATTTAAAAACAAAGGTGATTTGAAAACCTCTCGTTTCGAAAAAAAAATTCAGATTTCCTTTATGATCGAAAAAATATAGTTCAAAGAGTCGCCACCAATCTTTGATTAGGGTGTGATTAGGCACCCAAAAATGTTTGTTATTTTAAATAAAAATTAATTTTTATTAAAACAACAAATTGAGGTCTGCGTTACCAAAATCCGAGTTCGGGAGTCGGTTACGTGTGGGGAAGGATTAGCACCCCCACAACGCCCTAAATCGGTACCTAATCGATTAATTAACGTTTTTGCAATGAACTTTACAAATTCGAAATTAATTTGAATTTTGATCCCATAAAACAAAAATGTAAAATTAAAAACATTCAAGAACACTCAAATGAATTAAATTACAATTACCAAGCCATTTTAGAAAGATAAAGAATGTTCGATTATTTACAAATATCGAGACCAGATCTTAAAGATATAACAACCTTTTCTCAATATATTTAAATAAACGAACATTTCTTTTTCTCTCATTCCCAAATTTTAGGTGATGAATCAATTTTTTTGGTTTCACTTTCGGGATACACTTTTAATTTAAAATCATTAAAAGCGGACCTCAAATCAGTTATGACTGCCCACTTAAAATAATTTTAAATTAAAAGGATATTACCCTTAATCCAATTATGTAATATGTCGAGTTATGCAAATGAAGCTATCATACAATTTATAAAAAGTATGTCATACCAAAAATTAATTATGCAAAATTTAAAAATAACATAAAACATGACATGCGGAAAAAAAAAATTTATATACATACGTTTTAATATTTATGACCAAAATTAAAAAAGCATGAAATACAAAGATCAAATTAATTAAGAAAAACAACATATTGGACTTAAAGACTAAAACGCCAATTAACCAAAATTACATGCTAAATGCGAAGACAAACAAAAAAGAAAAAAAAATAACATAAACTGATGACTAAAAAAGAGACACTTACAAATATGAAAATCAAATTAAAAACATGGAAATCCCAATTTAGTGATTAAAATTAAATGAACGAAACAATGGATAACTAAATTAAAAAAAAACAGAAAAGATTATATTCAATCACTAAGATATAACATGAAAAGAATTACGAGCCAAATGTATAAGTAAATGGAAAATAAATATACTAGTGTCCAGGACTAAATTCAAATGTTCATGAAATAAAAAGACAGAATTAAAACATAAAAGATTCGAATTCAGGACCAAAATGCATGACCTTGAAAGTGGATCGGCTCACTTTGTGGATAACCCACACATGAAATGGGTACTCTAAACACCTAAACGACGTCGCTTTATCCCTGTTAATTAAAACCTAAGATTTAACCTACAAATTAAGCCTTCTTTCTGTTAAGCTCAACCCCTACAACGCCGCAATGCTCCCTCCCTGCGCAGTTCTCACCTCTAACTCACAAACCCACACAGCCATCTCTCGACCACTCATCTCCTTGAACCACCGTGATAGTCACCGACGATGAAGCACCCGAACCGACCTAATGAGCCTAGACCTCTCTAGCCCTCAACCAAAACGAACGACCAACACCACCTATGGACTCCGACGAGGACCAGAACCGGCGAGATAAGCTAAGTTGAACCTTTCTTTTAACTTTTCTTCTGATTTTGCTTCTAGTCTAAACAAAATTTCAAAACGTATGAAACTAACATGACTCGGTGTTAAACCCATCTCAGACCATGAACTCGAGAGCTTCGGACCCTAAACATCAAAGAAAAATGAACCAAACGGGACAGAAACCCAACCTTGACGCAGCAAAACCGACCTTGACAATCAATCAAAACAGGACCAGAGGTAAATCTTACCGTCTATTTCTATTTTCCTTATCCTTATTTTGTTTCTTTTTTTTTGTTTAGAAATAAAAACACTCATACAAATTACTAGAAATTGAAATAAAGAGAGAATATACCAAAAGAATGGCTCTTTGCTTGTTATTGCTTTCCTGAAAAACGACGATTCCTCCCCTCTGTTACAATGCTTGGCCTTGTAATAAAGAAATATTGTTTTCCCTGTTTTCCTTTTTTTGTTCTATCGTGTAGTAAAAAGATGGTCTACCCTCCCCTCCTAATGCTCTCTAACTCTATTTGTCTGTGTAATTTCTCTGCCCTGTTTTCTTTTTTTGATCCCTTTCTTTTTTTTGATCCCTCCCCTTTTTTCTGTGTGTAATCCTTTGATTTATTCCTCTGGTGGTTAATTCCCAAAAACTGAACCCTTTACAGTTTTTCCTTACCCCAGTATCGTGCTCCTTAACTACCAATAATGGCTCTCACTTTTTGTTAACTGCCTTCTCACGTTTATTTCTGGTTTTAACTCCCCAGAACTGCTTTCATTTGAAAATGGTAAAGGCCCCAGACAAATTAAACATCTACAGCTGCCCCTCTTTGCTCATTGTTGTATAACAAGAATAGGGCAAAGATCAAAAGATGATCGAATTTGTCTGGTCATGAGAACATTACGTCAGGATAAATGAGACTTGAAACATCTTCAAATGACGAGCCTGCTCCCTATTCCTTCAGGAAGTATAAGACTCGAACAATCTTCATAAAATGTGTCTGCTCTCTATTCATTCAGAGAGTATAAGACTTGAATAATCTTCAATAAAACGGGTCCGCTCTCTATTCCTTCAGAGAGTATAGAACTCGAAAAATCTTCAATAAACAGGTCCGCTCCCTATTCTTTCAGAGAGTATAGGACTCAATCTTTAACAAACGTGTTCGCTCCCT